TTGATCACTATAGCAACCCCTTTATCACATGAAGCACATTCTTGCTCCGAGATAAAAAGCACTTTTGAACAGAAATGCGCACGCCCACTCATCAAAAGGCAAGGTGAGCATCCATGGTTTTTGTCTTGTTTTATCAAGATTTTTGTTTAAAAAGTAGGTAAAAGATTGTGTGTGAATAGGTTTTGCATCTGTTTTCGTTGTATATTTTGAAATTTTATTCTGAGTGTATTAGTATCCAAACTAAATAGAAGGAACAGATGCATCTCTTGGGAGATTTGCAAAGGGAAAATGGAATCAATATATATTTGATCAGACTGTTTTTTGCTATTATCGTTCCTTTAACTTTGGGGAAAAATATTGAATTGTAGGGTAGCATTTAGAAATGGAATTTCCATTCTGCAGGAAGTTCTGACATTATGATTTCAGCCCCTCATCAAACTGAACATAACGCTGAAATTTGCCAATGCTCTAACAAAACAAGACAGCCAAAGAGTTACCACATTTGACTAGGTTTCAATAATGTAAATGATTCAGCTTTGGGTGGAGAAAAAAAAAAAAAGCCAAGTATATATTCAAAGTAATAGTTTAAGCCATTTTTGTAACAAGATCACAAAAGTTTTTAATAACCCCTCAAAACCGATAAAAATGAAGTAAAAAAATAAGATATTTGTGTTTCAGGTTTTCGCTATGTAGAATTTTTGCCAAATTATCAGCCTCATGCAAAACATTTAAATGTTGGTGAAACTTTTTGTTAGAAACATTTCAACAAGTGCTGTTACTTAGTGCTGTATGGGAAACATTACACAAAATCAGGCAATTAACTAGCATCAAGCTCTCTAGAAACAGTGGAACCCTTGTTTTGCAGAGCAGCTACCTACACTTGCAAGCACGAGTGAGAATAACATTTTATTTATTTATTTATTTATTTTAGCAGAGTTTGGGTCACAAAGGGCAGCTGAACTCCAGTGTGGGCTTTTAGCTCCAGAAGGTTATTTCTTCTTTCTCCTCCCAGGAACGAGATGAAATGAACAGTCTCCTGGTTCCTCACAGTGTTCGTGAGCCCATCTGCAAGTGTGGTGATCTAGATGTCACCTTCAGTTATAAGGCCTCAAGTCAGAAGCTGGTAGTGACTATCCTGGAGGCCAGGGATATCCCGGACAAAGACCGCAGCGGTGTGAACACCTGGCAAGTGCACACAGTCCTGATGCCCAGCAAGAAACAGAGGGGGAGGACGAGTGTTCAGAGAGGACCCATCCCCGTGTTCAAGGATAAAATTACCTTTAGCAAGCTGGAGCCCGAGGAGCTTGGCGGCCACGCAATCCGCTTCCGCCTCTATGCCGTGCACAAGATGGTTGGCGAGAGGATGATGGGAGAGCGGTTGTTCTGCCTGAGCAACGTCAGCCAGGAGGAGGAGGTGAAGGTGACGCTGGTCTTGGAGCCCAGGAGCAATCTGAGTGTAAGTCTAATGACGTGTGGAGCCCTTAAAGTTGTGTGCTTGGTGAACAAGAGCTAGCTGAGTCTGACTTCGTTTGGGGCTGTTAGGCTGCGACTCATGTGTCTCTCACCTACTATCGCAGAAATGGTCTGAAGTAAAAGGAAGCACAGGTTGTGCCTACCCCACACAAAACTGTGCCTCCTTAACAATGGCTTAAGTAGTAAGCTTGTAATTGCACACAGCTCATCAAATGATGTGGCAAGCAGAATTAGTACCTTGGGTCCCAGAACCATCAATTAAATCTTCATCTCAGCACAGGTAGCGGTTCCTGTGTAGCGTGATGTTTGTGGAGCTGTACAGTTCAAGAGCTGCCTTGTTTAGTTTAGTACCAGCCTGTGGATCTCTGTTTCGTGCGGTGAAGTATCTTCAGGGCTCAGTTTCCATCTTACAAGAGATACTCAGCAGTGTTATTTTCTATAGAAGATTGAAGTGGAGAGGTGAGTCATGTGATGAGGAGCTGGCTGTGCTGCCTCAGAGCCTTCCATCCACAGCACAGTTGCATCCAGCTCTGACTCTGCCAATCAATTTGTGTAGACAAGCCCTGAGATTATTCACTGTCTATAAGAAGCTCGGTGTGAGGTTTTGTATGCAAAATGAATAAAACATCATACTCTGGGTGAGTAGGGGGTGAGGAGAACATCCTGATAGCAAGGAAAGAAAGCGAAAAGAAAAGACAGTGTGTGACCAAGAAAAAAAAAATGTGCTAAATGCATTCCTCAAATATATTTTTCAAGGAGATTTACTCTGCATTTAATGTACTAGGATGCATGCTTATCTTGGAGACTTTGATTTACGCTAGTAATAACACATTAGACAGAGATCCTCATCTTTAAAGAGAGAGTTCAGAAATGTGTTTTCGCAAAGTGATGCTCTGATTCTCTTTGCGCCCCGTCGTAATTCATGCAGATGATTCTTAGTCATTGTCATCTCTGAAGGCAGATCTTTCCTAACCCAGGCTCCAAGACATAAATTAAAGGGAGGGTGGTAGTGAGTGTCCTGATGAGACTTCCAGTGCTCTTTCCTTGCAGAGCGGAGACTCGCAGCTTAGTCTGTCAACAATCTCTCACAGTGATAGCGCTTCCTCAACACAGTCCCTGGCGCATGGAGGGGTGCCAGAGCTGCTCGTGGGCTTGTCGTATAATGCCACTACGGGGCGGCTGGCAGTGGAGATGATCAAAGGCAGCCACTTCCGAAACCTGGCAATTAACAGGCCACCTGGTAAGTACTTTCACTGTTATTAAATAACACCATTGAGTCACATCTTTTTTGTTATTTTATTATTTTTGTTTTTTATTTTCTTCTTCGAGACATCTAATTACTGATTCCTGATTTGACTTTCCTTCCAGAGTATCTGATTGAAAATTAAAAGCATTATTTTGAACACGTATATCAGTAAGTCTTACATTGTAAATGGAGGAAATCATGCAAGGACAGCTAACAGGACAGTAATATCTCAATACCTTCTTTATTGCATTTACCTCTAAAACATATGATGATGGGGAAACGTGCTAGAATACTTCCCTTTTATAGATGCAGACCCAAAGCACAAGAAATTCTCAGCAGGTTTGTAATAAGAAAACAATTTGCAAATGTTTATATGTTAGCATGTGACCTGCAGAAGACCTGCCTCATGCTGTAAGGTTTTCTCTGGGAAATACTTGGCTTATTCCCACTTGCTCTCCTGCTGAGCGTTGACCTAGTGCTTCGTGCCCTTTGGTGCTCCTGCAGCTGTAAGTTCCCCACAGCGACACAGGAAAAATTTCCAGAGGAAAAAGATTTGAAATTGGTTCTCCTGGGTCCCAGTAATTGAGTGCACTTTCTCCAAAATTTGGAGAATAAAATATATATATATATATATATGTTATATGTAATGGCTTGTGCCAGATGCTGTGTTCTTTGGCCTAGGTATAGCAACATTTCAGTATACAGATATGAAAACTTACACATAAGTAATTCAACATAACTTTATTACAGGAATCTGTGTGGTCAACCAGTCCCTCAAGAATTAAGGGCAAGTGTTTTACCAGACAGAGACAAGACCAAGATCTGATCTGGTATTAGCCATGGCAACTTAGGTTTCCTTGTGGATTGCTTAAACATTTGTTCTTACTGGTGTTTGTGTATTCGGGCCTGTGGTGAGGATGGGGTTTGACAAATCAAGCACATGCACACGGGTTAGGAGGTTTAGCTGCCTTCCTTAAACATCTCATCCAACTTCTATAGCCAATGGGCACACAGGGGGTGCAGTAGTTTTGTTGAAAGCATCTTTCAACTTGCTGAGCACTTGGTATGTTTATTGATGAGAAGAGAGCAGCAACAATATGTGAGAAAAGGAGGCATCTGAAAGGGTTCTCATTTTAAGTACTATTTGAATTTGTTGTTTCTGTGTTTGAGGGGTTCAGATACGCCTAGTTAAATCAGCTTGACAGGCTAGGCCAAGTCTGTGTCAGTCGCCCAAACTCATAGTCCTGACATTGCTTCGTATCAGTTCTGGGCTGCCAAGGCTGTCTTGAGTTGATTCTTCCTATCCTTTCTGCAACCAGTCCAACTGTGCTGCCCATCCAGTAATAATGGTCTGTGTTAGACCATTATTAAGTAAAACACAGGGATTCATCATTTTTTACAGGAAAGTTTTCAATCTGCCACAACTTGCTTTTTTTACTCAGACCCCTTATTTTTCTACACTGTTCTTATGAACTTGCAAAATTCCCAGTCGTGTAGTGAGCAGAAGAAGGCCCAGTGAAGCAGAAACTTGAAGCAGTTAAAAAGGAGGAGGAGAAACCCAACAGCACTTGTCTGTGGTGCTGGGGGACGGTTTGGCTGCTAAGTCCTGCACAAGGTGCTGCGTGGTCTGTCTGCTACCGGCCGAACCGTGCGGGTGGCCAAATGAGGTGCTCAATAAGAGCTTGTCACTAGGTGAAAGCTAGAAGTGCCCTCTTCCTTTCTAGAGGGCAAGAAAATAGCTCTTGTGTTTTCCCCAGTACTTCCAACCTCAGGTTCTGTTGTTTGAGGGGGATGGTTTATTTCTTTGAAAGGCATAATAGAGCTTTGGGACACCCACAGACCAAGCCCAGACTGCTGCTCAGAGCAGTCATTTATAGGAAGATGTGTAGCAGAACACCAAGATTTTTTGCTTTACACTCTGTGCCTTGTCCAGAGTCCATTTGACTCCATCCATGTTGATAGAAGCGTGTAGTAGTTACGGTTGTGTGGCACCATGCAGGCGTGGAGCTCAGCATCTCCTGCAGCATGTAGGCTCCCTCCTCAGCCCTCACACCCTGACGCAGGGTTTGCCTTGTGTAGGAGCAAGAGCTGGGCTTGGACGTTGGCAATTTACTGTGGTAAAAACTGCAGAGGCTAAACCACGTGCTTTTCTGGAGAGGAAAAGAAAGATTGGACATAGTGGGGTTGTGTGTGTGTGGAAGTCTTTTTCCTTTAGCTTTTTAAATGGGTTGCAGAAAGTTGAACTGAGACTGTGAAATATCAGTCATCAGTGCTTACTTGTTAAGGGCTGGAGTTAGGAAACAACTGAGCAGTTTACAGAGACCTGAATCTTTCAGGCTGTGTCTTCTCTTTAGGTCTTGTGTGTGATATTTAAGGGTAGTTTGGTCAAAGCCGGGTACCTAGGAGATGTCTGGGGAATATGCTGCATTATAGGCCTGAGTCTGCAATCCCTGATCACACAAATAGGTCCATTATCACTCAAAGTACTTAAGAGCACTCAAAAGTATGGCTGCAGCATCAGACAGTAAATTATCATTATGTGCCAAAAAGCCTCATGCAGAAAAGCATCTACAGTTTTGTTAAATGAGGACACCGTGGCTATTTCAGCACTAATGACTTGCGTTGTGTGCACTCAACTCTCTTCAGTTCTTGTGAAAATCATGAGCCTGTGTTGGATTTTGTAAGGGTTCATATTCTGTTCTGCGTTACCGTCTCTTCTTAGAAAAACAAAACCCAGTGTGTTCATTTAAACGATGTTTACTCTAAGAAGGTAACAAGAGAAGCCTACAACTCTGGCAGCTATATATTTAAAAATTTATAACCAATTACGTACTATTTGCATGGTAGTAGTACCTTGAGACTGCGGTTATGCACCAGGAATCATTTGTGCTGTTCAGTGTATAAACACACAGCAGAGATGGTCTCTGCCCTGAGGGTGTTTAACCTTCATCTGCTGTTCTGCTGGGTGCAGCTCTCCAGCCTCTGATCCACAGTCTCCATTCTTCCCCCTTTCCCATTTCTTTTGGGGGCTATGTCTGTGTGTAATGCAATTTGAGAAGGACTATTCTAAAGATATTCCCTCGCCTAAGAAAAATCCTCCAAGCTTTTCAGCAGCTGCAGAATTAATCGCACATAATAATTACATCCGTACATGATCATTATTATACCAGCAGCATATTAACCCCATTAAACAAATACAATAGCATTAACGTTGAAAAAGACAGGAGGGAGAGAGCAGGCTATCAGAATTGCTTCTGGAAACAGGAGAAATTCTTGAAGTAAAGACTTATCTGAAAACAAACAACTACCTGAGCCAACCATAGCAAGGCCAAGGAGCGCAGGAGGCGCTTACGTGGAAAAAAGCAGGGTACTTGTGGTGTTTGTGCTTGAGAGTCATTAGAGGATTTTATCTCGTCAATGTGTTTGTGGGTGTAGGAAAGTTTTATTATCCTTGTTTCGTACCTGGAGAGCTAAGGCACAGGTTGATTTGTGTAATTGCCCACATACAGACCAGAAAGCTGAATTTAAAAAGATAATAATAATAACTTTTAACCAGCATAGCTGGCACTAAACAGGGGCCTACAACTAAACAAGCTTGTTTGAGCTCCTGAAGCTTTTTAATTCATACCCTCATCAGTTGTAAAAGGGGAGCCGGTGCCAGGATGAGCTGGGATGGGTTCAGCCTCAAGAGCTTGGTTAGCAGAGCAGTGGAGATGCTGTAGCAATTACTCACTGCTGAGTAATTGTCAGTGTGCCACAGTGAGCTTGTGCAGGACCGCTTCTCCTTCGGTATCTTTTTATTTCCCATCCTTGAATGTGCCTTGAATAAACTTAGAATAAGATAAGCTGAAAAGGTTTTGTTCAGGATTGTGAAGATGAGGCCAGCTGCGAGGGATGTCACAGTGCTGAAATGGAAGATGAAGTGCAGATAAATGCTTGCGTGGAGGTAGGGATGGAATTAAAAGTTAATGTGATGGGCTCTGAGCCTACCAAGAGTGAGATCCTAGACTTACAGTAGATATGTTCAGGAAAAGGATCGGCAGCAATAGTAAAAAGGCAAATCCAATATTAGCAATGAACAGAGAACAAAATGAAAAATACCACTGAGTCACTATAAATGTCTGTGCATCTGCATAATGAATACCATATACACTTCTGGCTTCCTCCGTTCAAAGGGAAAATAGGGCAGAACTGGAAAGATACAGTGAAGAACAACAGAGACAGCTGGGGGCACTGGAACAGCTTCCGTGCAAGCAACAACTGAATAACAGACTGTGCCCCCTGCCATGCTGTGACACAGGGAGGTGCGGGAGGGTTTCACAGAGGTCTGTGGAATCCTAAGAAGTGTCACTGTGAAAGTGAATTGGGAATGATTATTCATCATCTCCCAGAACAAAAGGTCATGCAAAAACATACAAAAACGAAGGGTCGTAAAATGAAATCAGGAGGTGGCAGCTGCAAGATGAGGAGACAGCTCTTCACACAGCACATGCTTAAGCTGTCAAGGTCCTCCCTGCAGAACATCAGGGATCCTAAATGTCTGCCTGAGTGCAGTACTGTCCTGAACAAATTTCTGAAGAAGATTACAGTGAGGCTAGACTTACTAAGGCACCTAGTGTTGGTTGCTGCTGGGCTGGTTGGACTGACTTGCTGCAGCTCGTCCTGTCGTATGTGAGACCCAAGATTGATGAGGCTCCTAAAACTGACTCACAAAACAGTGCACTTGCTTTAAGGAGCAATGGTGAGATTTCTGTGGGAGATGTTCCATGGTAATTGTACATCCAGCAATAAGCTTGCAGTTTTCCAGTATTTTTTCTTATTTCTAAAAGTCTATGAAAAGTGTGTATTTGCAGTGTATAAAGTTGAAGGTATTTCTGAATCAAAGGAGTGCATTTTGAAGCAGGGTATATGGTTGTGCTTCCCCCATCTCATTGCAGTAAACAAGAATCTCCCCCACATAAGCGGAAAGCAAAGCAAATGCTCTCAGAGGGGGA